GTGTGTGTGTGTGTGTGTGTGTGTGTGTATCTGTGTCTGTGTGTATTTGGGAGGAGGTGCTCTAGGAAGCCAGAGATCAACATTATATCATTATGTGTGTGTGTGTGTGTGTGTGTGTGTGTGTGTGTGAATTTTGGGGGAGGTACTCTAGGAAGCCAGAGATCAGCAGTGTGTGTGTGTGTGTGTGTGTGTGTGTGTGTATCTGTGTCTGTGTGTATTTGGAGGGAGGTGCTCCAGGAGGCCAGAGATCAGCAGTGTGTGTGTGTGTGTGTGTGTGTGTGTGTGTGTGTGTGTGTGTGTGTGTATTTTGGGGGAGGTGCTCCAGGAAGCCAGAGATCAACACTGGGTTGTCTTCAGCCTTACTACCTTATTTTTGAGCTTCTCGTGGGTCTGAAATTTACTAATTGGGCTAGGCTGGCTGGCCAGCGAACTCTAGGGATCCTCCTGTCTCTGCCTCCCTAGTGCTGGGATTACAGATAATCGGTGTGTATGTAGTCTTGGCTGGCCTGGAAGTCACAGAGATTCACCTGCCTTTGCTTTCCAGTACTATGATTAAAGACATGTGTGGTCACGCCTAAGTTCTGGCTTTTTGCATATGTCAATGGTTCGGATTTGAACTCAGGTCCTCAAGCTTATGCTGCAAGCACTTTACTGACTGAGCCATATTGCCAGCCCCTCCTCTGTCTTCAAAATGGGTGAAGTCCTGTACAGCGGTTCCAGGTGTCACAGTCTTATGCTGAGGGTTGTAGAAGAGTATGAGACTGTGCCAGCTGATGCCTGTCCTAGGGAGCTGTCTGTAGAAAGCTCCAGCCCAGCACAGGGGAGGCAGACACTTGGTCAGTCTTGGGTGCCCACCCCTGCAGTGGCTCCCATTTTGGAACTTAAAGAAGACCTGTCTCCATGCCCTTGGGTGTGCCCTGGTGACCTGGAATAATTCTTCCACACACGGAAAGAGCACCGAGGAGCTGGTCCTCTTTCAGAGACAGTGGGATTTTCCAGGGTCAGCTTCACCAGGGAGGGTTTTGGTCAGGTTAGAGTCTAAGGAGCCCATGGCAGGGGGTGAGGAATGGGCCTCATTTAGGCCATAGTGTCCTTACAGGAACTTTTGGAAGGGAGCCCCTTGGCTCTGGGTCAAAATTAGGTCAGATTTGGGACTTTCTGAGGAATTCTCCCCTCCCTGCTTGCCTTTATTTTCCTACTGTTAAAGGCACCAACTTCTTGTTTTCAGCCTCTTCTGAGCTTTGACCTCCATGTGGTTTTCTGTAGAGGAGACTCTGAGCATGGGTGGGGGTAGGGCTCCTTCCCGAGGCCTTCTGGAATGTTCCTCTTCACCCACGGTGCCTGGAAAGCCCCCTGCCGACACTTCCTGCCCCAAGGGATAGCATTGCCCTCCTGTGTCCCTTTTCCTGTAATCACGATGGTGGGTTCTCCCTAGGTGGGCCTGGGAGAAGAATCGGAAAGTGAAAACTAGAAGCCAGGTGTAGTGGCTCACACCTTTAATCCCAGCAGATGCAGGTGGATCTCTGTGAGTTCGAGGCCAACCTGGTCTACACAGTGAACTGGTGTCTCAACAAGAAAAAGAAGGAAGACAAAAAGATAAAGTGAAGGCTAGAGATAGACCAGTCCTGCTTCAGGTGACACTGGGGTCTCTGGCTAGTAGCGGGTGTGTGGAGAATGTGGCTGTCACAATCCGTCTCTGGTTTCTTTCTATCTGTACTCACTGGAGGGATTTGTGATCGTTCTGAGCTGGGCAGAGTGTCCCCCAGCAGGAGACTGGGGGAGTATAGGGGGGCATGCTGTGGTGACAGGGCTTGTTGACCTTAGTCCCATGCTGGGCAGATGTTCCAGACTGAGCTGGGCCCAGCTGCCTCCAGTTTCCTCCCCCACTTTGCTCTGAGGGGGTTGGAAAACAAGGCCTCTTTTTCTGTCCTGGGCAGCTACCAGAACCTGGGATGGGGGTTGGGACCCCTGGGTTCCCAGTCTTGGCCCAGCCCTGGAAAAGGAGTCTGCTTTGTGCTTATGTAGAGATGGGGGATGGAGAGACCTGAGATTCTGCATCCCGTCTCTGCTAGGATGCAGGAGATCTATCTGTGAGCTTCTGTGTCGTAGCTGTGGCAAGGCAGCCTCAGACACAGTCCCTTGCTGGCAGATGTACTGCCACAGACACAAAGGCACAGTCACATACTTGTCCAGAGGCTGCATGTGGCCACTCACACGTGAGCTACTCACATACTCTATCACGTATTCCCAGCTATGACCACATGTGTGCTTCCATCTGTTCAGATATGTCTCGTCACAACAAGTCCTCGGCACACAGTAACATCCTTAAACAGCCAGAATCACATGAGTATGAAACAAAAGTGTCCCGATGCCACTTGTACCATGTCAGTGTCACTTCGTGGGTCCCTTGAAGATTCATTAGATTCATTAGAGATTCAAGAGAACTTTGTGGGACAGGCAACCCAGAGGTCTGTGTCCCAAATCAGATGCAGAGCAAGTTTTTGGTGCCACATGCAGGCATGTGCTCTAGGGGTCTGGGTGTCTCGGCAGAGTGGACCCACAGCATCAAGTTCAACTTACTGTTCAGAAGAGTGACCCTGAGTCCCAGTGAAGATGGTACCTGGCTGCCTCACCCAGCAGGGTGGGGGTGCTCTGGGGCCAGAGCCCAGCTCTGGCCAGGCTGGCCAGGTCTTGTTCACCTTGAGCCAGTCCTGAGGACCAGGGTGTTCTGAAGGCCCCTGGCAGAACCCACCAGCCACAGCTCCAGGCTTTGGAGCATCCCCCTGTGTGCAGCTGAGTTGCAGCGTCTAAGGCAGAAGGGAGAAGGGGCCAGGATGCGGTGGGCAGGGCCCTCGCCTGGCCGGGAGGAACATTCCTGTGCCCGGTCTGTCTTCCCATAGCATGTGTGGACTGGGCCCGCCCTGCCTGCCCCGCTGACTCAGACCTCTGGGAGCCAAGCCTGACAGACTGCTCCCTCACCCACCCCAACCTGCTTCCTTACCACTGCCCTCCTGCTCCCTTCTCTACCACTGGGACAGGAGGAGACTATTAGTCCTGGCAAGAGGACTATGGGGGTAGGTCAAAACTTATCACCCCTAGCTAAGGCTCCGAGGCTGATTGCAAAACCCAGCCCTGGGGATCTACATAGTTCAACATAAACTCCTTTCTCTCAGTTGTTTTGTTAGTTAAACCCCGATGCAGTCCAGTCTGTTTAAAAAGCAGTGTCTGACACATAGCTGTGGCCTCCATGGTCCACCCCCAGTCCTGCTCAGCATCCGTTTCATTCCGGAGGCTGAGACTTGGCCAGAAGGAAGATGGATTTGCCCAGGCAGGGCTGATCTTGAACCCAGCTCTGGCTCCATTCCTTGAAGTTGTGCTGATGAATTCACCGAGGTCTAAAGAAAGCAGGGAACAGACCTCTGCTTCCCGTGGTTGGAACAGGAGGTTGGTGAAAAGCGAGAGGGGTCTGAGGGTGGGTGGGGAAGCCCAGTGGTCTCTCTTTACCCTCCCCTACCCTCCACCCATAAAAATCTAAAGACATGGTGACATCTTCGTGCCTTGGGCTGTTTACAGATGGGAGTCCGTGAGGAAGCTAACCTCATGTTTTTGTCTTGAGACAGGATCTTAAACTGTAGCTCAAACTGGCCTCGAACCCAAGCCCCCCTCCTTTCTCAGCCTTCTGAATGCTGGGTTTACAAGCGTGAACCACCGCATCTGACTTGGCCTGCCTTGGATTTCTCTCTGTTCTCCCACGTGGTAGAAAAATAATCACAGGTAGCTTGAGGGAAGCCTCCTTTTGCAGGGGTTGTATATAAGTTTTGGGGTTGACACATTCGAAGACCTTTGGCAGGCCGCTGGCAGACTGGCTTTCAAAGGCAGAATCCCACTATTCAAATTTGTTCCACATTAAAGGGTTAGGTTTACTATTTGACAATGTTTCCACCTGTAGAGATTTAATTTACAAATCCACTCACTTTGTTTTTTTTGTTTGTTTGTTTGTTTTTGTTTTTCGAGACAGGGTTTCTCTGTGTAGCTTTGCGCCTTTCCTGGAACTCACTTGGTAGACCAGGCTGGCCTCGAACTCACAGAGATCCGCCTGGCTCTGCCTCCCGAGTGCTGGGATTAAAGGCGTGCGCCACCACCGCCCAGCTGTTTTCATCTTTTCTTTCCTCCTCTTGTTGCTCTTTTCTTTACCCCTGCCCTGGATGCCAGTGCTGTTGGTTGTTTGCTGTAGAGCTGACCCTGGCATTGTGTTTGCAGCTGGCCCCGATGGCACTGGGTGCTCCCGCCCTCCCTCATGCCTCCTGCCACCTGTCCCCTCAACCCAGGCTCCGTGGGTTTGGTCCTGTCTCTTGCTCTGTTGCCCCGTGTCAGGAGATAGCAAAGGTTCCTCCTGTGGCCTGTGGCCCCTTTTGTAGCTCGTGGTCATCATTCCATGGTACCGAACGCTCTGGAGACACTCCAGGCAACTTCCTCGGTGTTCTACCTGAGAAAGGGCTGTAAGTCCCAGTCCCTTGAATCTCAACCTCCCTGAGGCCTCTACAGTACTGGAAGGTCATTATTTCACAACTACATGGTGATCACCATGATTTTACAGAGGAGGAAAGGGGAAGTGCTGGAGTAGC